CCCCCCCCGCCCCCCCCCCCCCCCCCCCCCCCCCCCCCCCGGGATTCATCGTCACGTGACCAGCACACTCCACATGCTGTCGGTGCCCAGGAGCAGCCAAAACCCATCAAGTTGACCATTATTTTTTGCACTAACTACATCAAGCGATTTCGCAAGTCTTCGCTGTAACGCCTTGAAACTCAACATTTGAGCTGAAAATGAGCTCTCAAGGCCTATTCAGACTCTACTACCTTTTCTCCGTTTTCGAAATCACTTTCTGGACGTTTGTTGTTGTGTTGTGCTCGATTCTGTGCTCAGATTGACTTGAAAAGGCTTGGCGGCGGAGCTACGACCCCTTCGCCTCCGATGGCCGACCCCACCAACGTGAGTGAAGCCTATTTGTTCTGCGCCGGTGTGATTCTAGGCCAATCATCGCCCTGTATCTCATTGACTCCTTCCGACGCTGCCTCCAATGCGCGCTTTCTCGTCTGCCTTGCTAACATACGATTACGTCTAGTTTCTCGACGCAGCAACGACATCAACCCAACCAGATTTTGTGAATTCCAGCGACGAAAGGTATTCGCAATTTCTTCTAATGAAGCATCACGCACTGTAGCCTCACGCATCAGCTTGCAAGGGTGCTGCGTACAGTAGCTGAGCTGCGTACGCAAAGCGTCAATTGCAGTAGCAGCTTTGATATCCACTTATACGGTACTGACAATACTACGCACTAGTAGCATCTGGAACGAAGCCGCTTCAGACGTCGATGGGCAGGATGCCTTCTATCACAACGCCAATAATCCATATTCGGAGCCTGACAGCTTCTTCGATGTCGATGGTCACATCCCGCAAGTCGATAGCTGGACCAGCTACTTTACCCAGGATATCCCGCACAATGGCTACGTTTCCCTAGGTGATATAGAACACGGCAACACTCTCAGTGTTTCTGTCACCGCTACGCAGCCGCTCCAGTCGCTGTTTGACGGGGGAGATGTGCAAGATGACAACGGGTTGACTAATCTCTGGCCTCCACATGGCGTCCCTGCTGACCAAGATGCTGTTTTGGACTATACCGATGCAGAGCTTCCGGACTTTGGCCTATGGATGCAAGATGCAGAATTCATTCATGCAGACCCAATTCAGCAGCCGGAGGATCATCTGCAGATATCAACGTCACAACGCAGCCCGTATAGTGACTCGTCTACATCGACCGAATGTCAAAGACTGCTGCAAATAGTTCGGCGTTGGCTCTCCGATCATGCATCTCGGCCTTATCCTTCACGGGCAGAGAAGGAAAAACTTGCTGAATCTACCGGGTGCTCTGTGGATCAAGTCAAAATCTGTTTTAGGAACACTCGAGCCCGTGAGAAGCACTGTAAGTGTGATATTCTGTGTTATCATGTCTTGGCAACCCCGCTGACATTACTGCCAGTGTTTGACGGCCATGCCAAGGTGCAAAATGGCCAGGTTACGTCCAATACCGGACTGCACTCCAACATGTCGGCTCAATCAAGCTACGCACAACCTGTACACGTGTCTCTCACTGATGATAACGTTGTTTGCCCGCCTGAAACAGACACGAGCAACAGCAGTTCATGGCCTTCGCCGTCCGACCCAGGCTATCCCACGCCAGACAGCAATGAAGACACTGAGACCCAGGTCTACCAACATCCTGCAGCAAACCCAGCGCGTCAGAAAGCGTTCAGTGCGTCCGCTCTGCAGGAAGCTGCCATGCCAAAGCGCAAAGGTCGGAGGTATCACGCTCAGCGACACCAATACAGCACGAGCGAGCACCCGCCTTTTTCTCCACAGCAAGCCTCGTCTTCTCCCAGCTTTCAGGAATCAGAGAACATATATCCCTGCACTGTATGTGTCAAGGCGTTCAAGAACGCTTCGGCCTGGAAGAGACATGAGGCTAGTGTGCACGGCTATAACGATCGAGAATGGGTCTGCATGTTGACGGATGCATTCAAGCTGCAGTCTGAGTGTGTCTTCTGCTTGGAGCCAATTGACTCGATCGATCATCTTGGCAAGCATACAATCCATCCCTGTTTGAACAAGTGCACCGCCGAGCGTAGTTTTCCTCGCAAGGATCTTCTCAAACAGCACGTCTTGCTTGCGCATCTCGCGGGTGCACCTCCGTCGATCAAAAAGACATTCGAGATACCCACGGAATGGTCGAGAGGGTTGGATGTCTCGCCTGGTGGACCTGGCTCCCGCTGGTGTGGGTTCTGCGGCTGTACGCGTGAGACTACCGCGGACAGGATGGATCATGTTGCGCAACACTTTCGTGATGGTCAGAAGATGACGAGTTGGATTCGGATGTAATGTGTCAGACAATGGATCTTTTTCGGCGTTTCTGTTTTTGTATTTTTAGCACACTTACGATTATTGTCATGAACTTCACAAGATTATTGAATTGTTTCTACCCGATGTTCTTCCTTCCAGGCGTTCTCTTTGATTGTCATCGCACCCACTCCTTGCCTATCGTACTTCATCCAAAGCCCATGTTCCAGATTCTTCTTTAGTGCAGTTGCTCGGGTGTGACAACAGCCGAGTGCGAGTGCGCGGTTTCGCGACGCGGGGCTAGCGTGGAAGGCGAGCGCGTCACCCAGCGCAGACGTACTCTCTAGCTTTCCGGGAAACTACATCTGTGTTCAGTCATGCTGTTGGCGCTTCGACCCAGCATCATACTGCGACATAACTTCCGCGCCAATGCACGCCTTGCCGCGACCCAAGCCTCTCGAGCTCTCACCATAACATGTCGTGGTAACTACAGCGCGCTCCCAACCTTGTCAGCAAGCCAACGAAAGCAGGCAAACCGATCAATCGCGAGGACCTATTCAAGTACACGAACGGACGTTTCTTGGCAAACGAGAAGAAAGCGGTTGATCGCAGATATGTAACATTCGATCTAGATCAGCTTTGCGCCGTAGCTGCGACGACTGGTGGGCGGCACTCACCCGTCTGCGCAATCGACAAGATGGAAGGAGGGTTTAGCAGAGCACTTCTTTTGCGCAAAGAAGATGGCAGCGAGATCGTTGCGAAAATACCCTTCCCTATTGCAGGGCCACCAAAATACACCACGGCGTCGGAGGTGGCTGTTCTCAAATACCGTACGTCCTCGTTGTTCTGGAAAGCCTCCGTGACATCGGCTCATCCAATCGCTGTCGGCAGTAAACAAGTATACTCAAGTCCTGGTACCCAAAGTTTCGGCCTGGGACGCCGATCCGTCCAATCCTGTCGGCGCCGAGTACATCATCATGGAAAAGGCTCTCGGCGTTCAGCTATACAACGTATGGGATGATCTGAATGACTTGGACCGGTTGCGCCTCCTACGACAATTAGCCATATTCGAGAGCGAAATGACTAAGATCCGCCTTCCGGCGAGCGGAAGTCTTTACCTTTCTAAATCTATGGCAGAAAACGATGCACATGTCTCCTTGGACCAGGAGATGGATCCTTCTGGAGAGTTCTGTATAGGTCCATCGTGCGAGCGAGGATGGCATGTTCCCGACGAAAGTGCAAGTCTATCCCCCCATTTCAATCGGGGACCATGTGAGTGCAATCCTGGACGGGCCATACTGTAGCTGACCTTACTTCATAGGGCCAGATTTATCATCTTTCGGAACCGCTCTAGTCGACCGAGAGCTTGCGATCCTGCGAAATCGTTCTTTCAACGCAACATCTGGCTCACCACGAGGAACTCTCGATGAGCAGATCGATGCTCTTAACATGACTAGAGAGGTCATGTCTCGACTGCACGAGCGCACACTCGTTAGCAAGGTCTCCAATCCAGTGCTATGGCACACCGACCTCCACATGGGCAACATCTACGTCTCAGGGCAAAATCCACCCCAAATTTCATCGATCATTGATTGGCAATCGATTGTAGTCTCGCCATTGTTCCTACAGGCACGCTTTCCAGAATTCCTGACAGTTGACGAAGACTACCAATTGGGCACTATGGAGCTCCCACCGCCACCGCCTGATCTAGATAAGATGGACGCTGGCGACAAGAGATTATCAGAGTTCAAGTACGAGCAAGCAAAAGCAACAAAGCCGTATGAATTAAACTGCGCAGCTCAGAACACAATGGCTTGGAAGGCGTTGAAGTTACCGGCATTCCTCCGGGAGCTCTTCACACGATGTGCAGAAGTCTCGGAAGAGGGCGAGATACCACTTCGCGCATGTCTCATTGAGGTTGCCGCAGTATGGAACAGGATTGGCTTCAAAGACGAATGCCCACTCAACTTTAGCGAGGAGGATTTGCAGAAGCACGAGCAACAATTCGAAGAATACAGCAACTACCACAATGTACACGAATTGGCGAGAGAGATCATTAGCACGGATTTCGAAGGCTGGATCAATCCGCGACTGGACTTCTCTGCGAAACAACAACAAAACCAAGGACTACTAAAAGAGTTCGTGCGCAGGAGCAGTGAATTTGGCATGACGCCGGAGAAGATGAGGAGCATATGGCCGTACTTAGATCGGTCGTGATGGTACAAGGCATGCGAAAGCGTCGCGCATCGTCGTTGGGTCAGAGTCAGTTACATGGTAGCTTACAAGATTCCTAGCATACAAAACCGCGGCATACTTCGGAAGCTTCACAAACAGCTGGAAGCCTTTCACGTTTGTGCGTTCACCGCTGCCGCTTTCTCTTCACCAATGGCACCCGAAAGATCTTCTTGCTGCTTCGACGTGTCGTGGGCGGATTTTCCCTGCGCTACTTTCGGAATGTACTCTGGCGACTCAAGCTCTCTTGCCGGTAGAACCCCGTACAGCTCGGCAGGCCCATGACTATCGGCGCATTTCGCATTGACCTCACGGTTTCTTGTGTCTCCCATCATCTCACCAGTGCCAATGTGGTGTTGTGTCCATTTCTGATCGTGGCCGGAAGTGTCCCAGGAATATGTGGGAGGGGCTATACGCAGTCAGTAATGATACTCATCTGGTTCGTGTTATAGAAGCGTACGTGAGAATCCATTTGATGGTGCGAGACCAGTAGTTGTTGTAGGCGACGCCAGTTCAGCTTTTGGTATCACCTGGCCGTTCGCTGCCTCTGCTTCGGCATTGGCTTTCTGATTGCGCCGGCGCCGAAACAGAAAGAACACGACTGCGGCGATGATAATCACGCCAGCGAGTGATCCTCCAACAGCACCTCCAATGACTCCGCTAGAAACTCTATCGGGGCTGGCGGAAGCTGATGGTGTAGGCGTATCACTGGCGGGCGCAGATGTGCTGACAGCAGTTGAGAATGCCGTAGGCGCAGGAACAGTGGACGAAAGAGCGACGTTCAAGTCGTGGAAGTAGTGGTACTGATCTGGTCGGTCCCAGAACGCTGGCTCTAGCTGCCCCTCTGGACATGTCGAATTGTTCATGCACGCATCTTCGTTGCAACATCCATAGAATGTCGGGGCCATCGAACAAGTCCAGAAGGGTGTCGTACCACCACATGATGCGCCAGGCGAGATATTGTTGAGTCTTGGATTTCGTCCCGCTGGTTTCAGAGCATCACCGAAGCAGGCATGCTGGCACGGATCCGACATGCAGCACCCGACGAACTTTGTGCCTGTCTCGCAGACGTACCTGCTTATTGTCAGTGTCGTACCTTGTAGCGCCATTGAGCCACGCTTTCGTGTCGAAGGTGATGTTCATTCTGATATCGGATTGTTGACGCACCAAGTACCACCATCTGGACAGAAGAAGTCGCCCGGCTCAGCTGCTGCATAGCTTGGGTCCGCCATGTCGAAAACTTCTTTTAAGGTATGAGAGAACGGAGAATTGGCAGCAATCTAAGACAGCAGAGAAGAATGTAATAATAGACCAGACTGAGGTGTCGACCTACGTAAGTGCGCGAAGCAGCCCTCAGGCGCCCGTCATACTTAAGAGCTGGCTATCGCAGACCCAAGAACGCCAAGTAATTGCAACCCAAGACATATATTGCCGTTATGACGCAGTCGCAACAGCTATGGCAAGATATGCCCTGAATGATCCAGTGAAGGACCCTCTGGCGGCCTATTCGTCCTTCATGGCTGCAGAATGGGCTGTCATGCGAGCAGCGTTCGCATATGGTAATCCAGACGCCACCGGACAGGGGACAGCTCGCATAGCAAGCCTATAGAAGGCTCAGAGACTGAGCAAGACAGAAAGCTGGGGCCGGTCAGACTGGATTCTGGTGGGGATCAGACCCCAAGATGGTAGGTGGGTTGATTCGTGCAAAGCGCGCTGATTGGCAGGAGTACGCATTTTGCCAGATGCTCATACATGCGTTAAGCAAGGGCGTGGTCAATACTTGGAATGTGAGCGGTATATCTGCTGCAAGGGTTGCCCTTTCAGATAACGGGTATCTCCCTTCCAGAAGTCCACGTCCTCATGCAACTGGAAAATGTTGCTTGGATGCGCACTAATAATCGCTCGTGAGCTCCAAGGCAGGATGATGAGCAGCGTCTAGAACAATAACTTTACCGTCTTTTATGGTATCCCGATGCCTTCGTGATGGTTGGAAATACCCCATCTGTAGCAGCTCGTCCTTGGTTGATTGAAATGGCATAAGATAACATGTTTGTCGTAGGAATGCATCTGCGTAGGCATTGTATGAGGCGCGTGACGCTCATCTTGGTGTGGCATACGATATTCCTACCTGAATATGACCGAATAGAGCAAGAGTAGTAATGGCTATTGTATGAGAACAATGCATGTTGGCGGCCTTTGCGTGCCCTTCCTTCGCTGTTTTCTCGGAGATCTTTCCAGTACATCTCCCCGTATATGAGTCGCCGAGGCCCATGCTGCTGCAATGTATGGAGTGCTTCGATTCATGTAATTGCAAACGGCATTTTTCAGTCATGCATATCATCTGTGGGAATTTTGCGAATGTTCTTCTAGATGGTGAAGGAGTGAGCGTACTGAATCTGCCGTGGTGCGGTAATTCCTCGGGCAAACTAGGCAAGAAGGCTGCCCCGCACCGGCACCCCGCGCAGCGCAGCGTACCTTCTCTTGCCTTTTTCTAAAGTGCGCATTACGGAGTACCTAGAAGACGTCGCACTAACTTCAATGATCTGATGCTTGTTTCTTCGCTGCGATAGCTTTGTTCGGTAAAATCGACATCATCTACGGTGTCGCTTTAAGCAGATAGAAGAACAGTCGCCCCCTTCTGATGCAAGCTATCACAAGCCGCTCTAAGATAGCAAGCTCTTGTGTTAACAATACTTCTCTTTTTAAGAGAACCTAATTATATAAGTGCATATAAATTTTAGAAGTTATAAGTTGCTTATTATAATAGGTTATTAAGTATACTATAGAATAGAGGTAATAGTTCTAGAGTACAACTTCGCGCATATAGCAACTATATAAGTTAGAAGCAGAGTATATAAGGCACCTTAGCGTTATTATTGCTTATACAACATATATATACTATAGCACTTTCTCTTATCTCTATTACCTTTAAAATTCTAATTTAACTATATATTTTTATTAACGTTAAATGCTGCTAGCTCTTGCCTACTAATATAGTAAGAGCAACCTACTACTAAGTAGCTATATAAACTAAGTATTATCTATAAATACTTATAAACGCAAATATAAACCTATACGCTTAATAGAGCGTTAGGTTATATAAGTTCTGCCTTAAGCGCCTACTTAGTACGTAATGTAATACAACTTATAACAAGTATACGCTAACAGCGTGCAGGTCTATACTAAGTAAATAAATACTTTTTCTACGCTAAGATAGCTGTAGTAAATATACTACTTATTTATCTAAGTTAGCTAGGTTACTAGCTCTTATAAGTAGAGACTACTTTTCTTACTTAGAGTAATATTAGTAGCAACACAGAATAGTAAAAGCACACTAACATACTTCTTACCTCTTATAATATATAGGTTAAGATATAAGTTAGTATTTAAGCTATCTTAGACAGCAAGAATAAGTACAGAACCTTATACTAGAGTAAATAAAATATATTATAAAACATATAATTGTATAGGTAATAATAGCTGTAGGTAAGACACAAGAGTCTAAGATAGCAGTGTTCGAAGACAACATGCATCATGTAAGTAAAAGTTGATAAATGTGTATTGTATTACTCATGTAAGTTACTAGCCTATCGCTGCGTTTCAAGCAGCCGCAATGCCCGAGCTGTTCAGTTCAATGCCTTCCAGTCCACAGATCCATGTGCAATATCTCGCCCCAGGACATAAGCTCATCACCCCAGAACAATTTCACGCTTCAAAACCAGAAAGCATTACGGGCATGCTCGCGAAGATGTCACCAACGATGGCAGTAAAATGGGGGCACCATGCTTCTCTCATCGAAGCTAAGAACATGCTGTATGTGGCTGAAAAGACATCAATTCCCGTCCCAAAACTATATGCAGCATATGCATACGGACCCATAGACCGAGACCTTGATGATCATGCGACGGTCTACGATGTATATATCTTTATGGAGTTTATCGAAGGCGAAGACTTGGGGAAGTCATGGGATAAACACAACTCCACCGAGAAACAAGCAATCTCGGCGGACTTCAAAAAGCACATGGACGAGCTGCGCTCTCTTCCGCCAGCTAATTACATCGGATCTGTGGACGAAGGACCAGTCACTGATAATATCTTAGAATGGTCAACATCTTCTCGAGGTCAGCTGTTACACCAATTCCAAGTACTAACAGCGCATCTCTGACGAGATACCTAGGTCCGTTCAGAAGCATAGAAGACTTCAATGCTACAATAATAGACGCCTTTGTCACGAAGTCCAAAACCCAGATTGGCCCTTACGCCTGCGGCATGCTCAATGCACATAAGCATGGTATTGTCTTCACTCATGGGGATCTCAGACCGGACAATATCATAGTCAAGGATGGTCGTGTGGCTGCAATCATCGACTGGGAGTTGTCAGGGTGGTACCCGGAATATTGGGAGTTCGCCAAGGCATTCTATATCGAGTGGTTTGTCAACGACTGGGGATCGCATTTACTAGGCGTTCTTGAACCTTATTACTGTGAGCAATTGATGCATGCCAGATTGATGGAGGTTTTGTGGTAGTTGATGATAGAGCTGTTGGTACCGGAGTCTGGAGCGCCGTATGGGTTACTGACATTTTTTCTGTTGGCTTCATACTACAATTATCCGTATCACTTCCTACGCTTGTACTTGCAAGCTGGTTGGTATCGTTTCCATTTTCATTTCTCCTGGTGCTATCTTTGATCATGAGGCTACGTTCGTAATCTACGTTGCCTTCTTCGGTATTGCATCCACACCCCAAAAGCCGCAAGGACTACAGCAGGTACACCAACCCCAATCCCAACTTTAGCGTCAGTCGTTAGTCCCTCTTTTGAGTTATCTGATGACGGTGCAATAGCCGCTGTCGCTGTTTCTGACAGTTGGCTGGACGCTGATGTACTAGTTGGCTTGAAGAAATTTGTTTGCAACGATGTGGGAATTGGAGTGCTGAGCGGCGCGTATGATGATGAAGGGGTATCCTCGATCTTCCCCGAGTCCGACCGTAGGATGATCGTTCCATCTTCGTTCACATATACACCAGAATGGTCGCTGCAACATGTAGTGTTGCCTTTGCCGCAACAAAAGCTGCCGTCACCGCAGGGCGATACGTGGGTGTAATCCGGTTGGCGACCTAGCATTTACACTCAGTGCTCCGCGATAAAAGTGCTCGAGGATGATGCTTACCACAAGCCTCCCATAGCGGACTGCATCCACTGCCCTCCTCATCCCAGTTCTGATGTGTACATGCGACAACGAAGTACTGTCCTTTCCAGTAGTCGCTGTAACAGGCGCCTTGTATACACACGTCGTCTGCATAGCCGTCGGATCGATCGAGGTAGCAACACATGTTTGACCCGGGACAGGGTCGTGGAACCATGTCTAATAGTCCATCGCTTCTATAGCAAACGCCGTAGGTAGGTAACGCGCGAGCGAACAGAAGCACAAGATAAATTAAAGGTAAGAGTGTCCAGAGATGCTGCGATGCCATTATGTCAGGAAGAGAGAGAGAGGCTGGAGAGAAACGACCAGACGAAAAGTAGCATGCGCCTTGAGTGCTGAAAATTGATGGGATACAGATATAAGGAGCAGTCTTTCCACCTATATTTCGCACGTGTATACGCGTATGGCTTCTTGTGCAGAGCACTTCACCGGTTTGTGAGAGCCTGTTAGACACGTGGGCACATACAATTGCCCCCTTACGAACAGCATCGTCATAACGGGGGCTGTATTGCCTCACGTCGAAGTTGTGTAACTGCTCGACGTGCTGTGTCGTGGCTTGCGCCGGGTAGAAGGCTGGCAGTAGCGTATCTTAGGAACTGGGCGTCGCGCTCTCCATCGCGCGCGCGCGCGCAGCGATGGAAACTTCCCGACCCTCCACCTCAGTTGCTGTCCATATCGATCGGTTAAGTTTCGTCGCAATGCGTGCTGCCATCTGCTGAAGGTAGCGTTAATTGTCTCAAAAGAGTTGAGAAAAGAAGTGAGGCAGCTGCGTGTCGGCCAAGCGGGAAGCTTATTACAGGGCCCCGAGGAGGACCCCACACAGCCACCACGCTAGATCAAAAGGAGTAGATCGTGACGAGATCACACGCCCTTTGTTCAACGTGCAGCTCTGCTATACGATACCAGAATACTTAAAACGGTAGATAAGCGTCGAATCGAGCAAATACTGAAGGTTCATTTTTGTGTCCTACAGTATCGAGATCTTCTCCCAAGTTGGAGCCAGAGCTAGAGCTTCACCGGCCATATAGCCGTGCATGTAAGCTTCGCCAACAACCGCGAACATGTTGTTTCTCGGTCGAAGTATGATCGGGAAATTGCAGCCAGAGATGATGAAGACCGCATCGCGGGACCGGGCCTCTACTGGGCCAATCCCAATATATCCCTGCTCCGTCACGAAAAGCCGCCGTTGTCGCATAATGTTTCTCATCGTCGGCGCTCTCCTATCGTACTTTACATTACCCCCACCAGTAAGTGTCGTCATTACGATCGAGTCATGCGGTGAAGTGGCGAGCTCTCCCCTTTCCGCCGACACTATCTGTCGTGCCTCGGTAGACACAAACTTCGATTGTATGATGAAGTCGAAAGCCTGATTGATGAATTCACCATCGCGCATGGCAGCGACATCTACGTCCCATACCTCCGCGATGCTGTCCAACTGTATGCCTAGTACCGTCATCACATGCAGATCCTGGCTGAAGGAACTATATGGCTCCGAGCTGCCGGCCGCACGGTAGCCATGTCCTTGGAGCACTACTGCAGAGGTAGAGGTACAAAGTCAGTATATGTCTCACATGCACTTCGTACAGTCAGAACTTACCCATGTCAGTCGACCCCGAATAGCACAGCTTCATCAGTAGATGGCGATTGACGAGTAGAACCGGCTTCTTTGCGTACGCCTCGCGACGCCAATCCGGTACCCATGACGGTAAGCCATCGTTACCATGAATGCCACTGGCCGCCAGTAGGATGTCAAGTCGACCTTCGTTTGCTATGATGTGATGCGCGGTTTCTCGGTACACCTGCTCCATTGACTTGCGGTAATCAGGCGCCACGGAGATACCTTGAGTGTCGCCCACCAATCCTAACACAACGAATACCTTGTCTTTTGGATCCGTAGACGCGCGATCCCAGGTATTCCAGAGCAGTGAAGACAGCGAGCTCCCGTTGACTCTTGCTTTGGCAAGGTTTATCGCCAGTGTATAACGTCGTCGCAATTTGTCCCACTGCGACTGTCTTTTCATGCCTTCCAGGGCATCTCCGATATCATCCCAGGCCTCGGAGTAATCCATGGCCATTTGAAAGGTTTTCCATTCAATTATGGAAGTGCCACATTGTAACACTGCACCCGAAGCACACCATATCTCCTGTACGATCCAGGTCCGCTCCCACCATGGGCGAGTGAGTAGCTCATCGAGAGCCTCCCAATAGGGCTCCCATTCACTCTTGAAATACTTGTCGTAGGGATTACCGTCCATATCATACAGTATGGGATAGCCTGTCACGACGAAATCGTGCTTTGTAGCTTCAGCGGTTTTCACTGCCTCTATGTACCCATTGAATTGTTCCCTTCGGCGCTCACGCAGTTGTTGCAAGCGTGGGTCTGGATCTGGTTTTGGTTTTGGTGTTGGCTTTGGCGGGTCTGGATCTGGTTTTGGTTTTGGTGTTGGCTTTGGCGGGTCTGGTTTTGGCTCTTTATTCTGATGAAATCGCCGCGTCAGCGATGCATTTACTTGTATGAGGCGACTTTTTAGTTTATCCCAATAGGTTGGGCTATTAGCTGTTTCAGTTACCTTTTGACCATGTTTAGACCAGTCGATCGTATACCATTTGCGATGTTTCCTAGCCGTAGCTAGCATCTCCAAAAACTCCATGGCCTGTTCACTCGACTCGGTGGCTGGTCCGATCCATACAATCACGCGCGTCGCATTCTTGTAAATCTTTCTCATGATAGCTACTTGACTGTTGCGCTCAGCAATGTCTTTCTGGTTGATACAAACAGCATCTATCCAAATCTTTCGCTCTTGTGACGCATGTCGAAGATGTTCGAGCGCGACATAAAGGGTTGCAGTGACCAGTAGCGAAGAATCGTCGATCGTAACGGACAGCTTATGGTCATCTTCTCCCCAGGCATACGACAGGCACTCGTACTCGGGATGCGAGTTGATGTCGGCATGCTCAATATTGAGTTTGATTGCCGATCCCCGGTTTGCAGGAAGAATGTTGATGAGACGGATATGATCGGACGCAGTCAGGCTCTCGTATTGATAGGATGGACAGTCCATGACTATACCACGGCGTTCAGATGGACTGATTCGTGACTTCGGCGATGGCAGAAGCTATCTCGACACTGCCAAGCTCAATTGAGAGACCAACAGGTAGGCTTCAGTTGAACACACGACTAGAAAACCTAGCAGTTGTTCCATTCAGCTGTGCTGAAAAGGCTGTTCATCAAGATGTTTCGCATACCTATTCAGGGTATCTTGTGCAACACGCACTCGATGCGAAAGATTATGAGGCTGAGGGGCTGTTGGTGTTGCGGGCATCTTATTATCGTCTGAACTATACCCAATCGAGCTAGGATGCGGGGAGATTTAGGGACAGCTGTCAAGGCCAAATTGCTCTCCACATCGAAACATCGAAACATCAAGGTAAGGGACCGAGGCTAAAAGCAGCTCCAGAACACCGAGCGCGTCAACAGCGATGTTGTGGTGGCATCATACCTATCGCGAAGCTCTGCATGGCGAGTCGCAATAGCGACTCTATCCGCAGACGTGATCATATCGCGCGCGTTCAAAGTCGCGTTGCTGGATGACGACACTGCGCACCAATCTCCTTAGGTACCTCCACTCCGCCGCCATCTTAGCCGTAGTTCTGCCTACGGAGAATTCGTATCCACGAGCTCTGTCGCAGGTTAATCAGAATCGGCACGCGCTAACCTCTCGGCTTCATCAAATCGACGGAGAAACTGACGCCATGTGTGCCATTTTGAGGGTGCACAAGCACGCATGGACTGAATCTGAGGTATGATGAAGCTGGGCGTTTTACATCAAAAGGGCGTCTCGCCTCTGGCTGCGTCGCCTGCGCGTTATTGACAAGACCTCGATATCTGATCACGATGCTGTCAAACATGATGACGCGATTGGCTCTGCCGTTGGCTATCCTCTCATTCTGTAGGTCTCTTATAAATATGGTATGCATGCACACGTGCCTAACGATATGCAGTCCTATCCTTCGTCAATGGTCTTCCCACCGATGCGCTCGTCGCACGCCAGTCGAAAAACCTCCGCATTCTTCCGCTAGGCGACTCCATCACCTGGGGTTACATCAACGGCGGCGGTTCAAATGGCTACCGTGAGCGGCTGCTGGCCGACCTCAAGTCTGGTGGCTACACCGTTGACTTCGTCGGCACGCAACAGTCCGGAACCATGGCGGACAAAGACAACCAAGGTTTCCCTGGCTACACCATCTCCCAGATCCGCGGCGTTGCTGCCGGTGGTCTTGCATTGAAGCCTAACGTTGTTCTGCTCCATGCCGGTACCAAC